CACGTGTAAAGTGGAGGTCAGACGTTCCTTGCCTCCAATGTTTTGAGGATTAAATGAGATTCATATATGAAATTCTTAGCACACTGCCTCTCATGTAAGAACTGAATTTGTATATGGTATTGTGTATAAGCTCACTCCTACTCTCTATTTTGAAAATTGTACTGACCATCAGCTTTCTGGATAAACACTGCCTTTTACTCTCAGCTTTGACATAGCTAAGTATCTCACTTGATGGCTAAGGGAGGAATTTGTGTGAGGTCAGAGAGAGAGATTTTCTCAAGTGAGATGCCATGGAGTTAACAACAGTTTATGGGGAATAAGATTCTACATGGTACCAGGGATAATGCTATTTTGTGTGGGAAAAAAACACTTGGACAACCTTTGCTTATCTGTCTGTAGTGCCATCTTTCTCTCCTTCAAACTCTTCAAACGTTACTCAACTGGGTTTGGGATCATGAAAATGGATGTGGGAACTACCATGTATTAGAAGCCAACCACGCACTAGAAGACATGCAGGGCATTTTTGTTGTCTTTCCTTTTTTGTTTTCTAATTTTATGACATCTTCATTTCCCCCCAGCTCTATGAGTTGTGTATAATCCTACTGGTTATGTATAATTAGCTTCCTTTTCTAAATAAGAAATTGCCACTTAGAGGGTTTCTCACCCAAGGTTATTGAGTTAGAAAGATATCTTAGAAATTGGAGTCTTGAGATATCTGACTGCCAAGTCTCTGCTTTCTCTACTTTAACTATTGTATTTGGTGCTGTCGCTGTTGTCATTAGTACTATTATTATCATTTTTGTAATATTTTGCCATTGTTATTGGTGGAGGTGGTGATGATTCATACTGGTACAATGTAACAGTACTATTTTTTTCAACATAATGTTGACAGACATTTCTTCGAGAAATTAAATGTTGCCATACCAACTGGCTCAACTGACAAGAATAAAAGACTGTCACATCAATGTAAATAGTATTTAAAAATCCACAAAGAAAACTGGGGTGGGAGAAATAGTTTTTAGTTTATCAAGTTATTATATAAAATACTTACAATAATGTCTCATCTTACAAAAGTATAAAAAGAACAAAGTATATTAGTGTAGCATTTATCCTCTCATTGGCAAAGAAATGGCCCTAACAAACTTTTAATGACATTTTGTTCTTTCATTCAATATTTTTTGAGAAATATGCCTGTGCTATTCCTCTCCTGGTTTCTATCCTTGCCAACATTGTGCTTTGAAACCAAACCAACCCACCCATATCCCACTCAGTCAGCAGCCAGTACAATGGCACATTGGAGCCTCAAGGACATCCAAGTTCATATCCAAGACACATGTATATTATTTATGCCCTGCCCCCAACTCTCCTAGCCCTTACTTAATTCTGTAGCCCAGTAACTCCTGAGTCCTTACTTTGTCTTCTTTCTGTATTACTCACTGGTTTTCCTTGCAACCAGTCTACATTTGAGTTTGAATTCTCTGAGTTGGCCACTGATGTTCCTTTGGACAGGGAAAACACCTTAGACCTTTCTGGTCATGCTTGGTGAAAAAAAAATTAACCCAGTTCTGGACCCTTGAACACTACCCTTAAAATACCACGTGTAGCTGTATAATAGATGCTCAGGTTAAGCTTAGACTTGCCACCCCATGCTGCCCTCACCCCCCAAATTCCTAACAGAGAATCTGATAGCTGTCTCAATTGAGGAACTTTTGTCAACAGCTGAAGAGTGAGTGCAGATATTTCTAATAATGTTTTCATATCAGTTCAACCAAAATCACAGCGGGTGGTTTGTTGTGCTGAAGCACTGAGAACATTAATTGTGGGTGTCTGTGTTCTGCTTCAGACAATTTTTATTCCTTGGAGACTCAAAGAGTACATGGACCTTTCTAAAAACATAATTTTTGTTTCTTTATTCTTTTCTACAATTGTATATAAATTATAGGTGTTTTTCATGGTTGTAAACATCCATTCCTCTCTCACTGTTCTTCAGTAGACAGGGTCTGAAAGAATGCTTACTTTTTATAAGTTAAAGAGGGCTCACATTTTATTTCCATTTCTCACTTACTGTCTGTCGTATTTCTCAGGCTACAAAGTCTGTGTGTGATGGAATGCGGTTTGTCATACTCAACAGGTAGAAGCCAGATAAATCACAAGTACAACAGTCTGATGATTAGAAATGAAGTTGTCCTGTACCTACTTTGAAAAACTCAGTTTATGCTCCTTTTTTATGTAGAGCTATTTCAAGATGAGTTTTTGACATTGGCTCTGGCAGCTGATAATCTTAAAATAGGAGTTCTCAACTGGATGGCCAAAATCTATGGGATGACAGTAAAATGTTGTTTTCCCATTATATCACAGGAACAGATTTTGAGCCATTTTTGTTTGCGGTATCAATGGAAAAGCTGACCCTGAAGGCTAGATAATGTGGTGATCTCTCAAGCTATAAAGTGAAATTATAAATAAATGGTGAAATTTAAAGGTGCTCAGTATCCAAAGACAAAGAAGCTCAAGGCTGTAAAGGGCTTCACAAAGAGGGTGATGAGTGATATCAAATGGTTCAGCAAGTTCCGGGAACATGATGACTGAGAAGAGGACATTAATTTTGGTGAGAAAAGGGTCATTTGTGATCTTTGAAAAAGGAATTTCAAGGTTGTGGTAGGAACAGATAAACAATTGCAAGTGATTGCAGAATGATTGCATACCATCTGTACTCATAGCTTCGCTGAACTCCTGGTAGGATAAGAAATAATTGTATTAGTAGGGCTACCTTGAATTCCAAGGCCAGTGATATATATGGATCTATTCATAAACCTGAACAGAAAACATCTCATAAAGATGGAAGAGGCATCATGGTCAGCCACACCACCATGGCTATGCAATTAAGAATATCGTTTTGAACCTAAAAGCTTGAAAAAACATTAACAGAAATTCTTACAAATTACACATAATTTGTCATTGAGGAGAAGTTCAGCCTTTTCTCAGGGGTATTTTATTCAAGTGCTTAGTATTTCAAGGCACTTTGAATAGATATTATTGAAAACAATGAGCTTGAAAGAAAAGAAGGGATAGAGCAGCCTAAGTATTTATACTGTTCAGGAAATGATGTCCCTGTCTTGTTTTCTCTGTATCTGCCTTTTTCTCTTCCCATTTATCACACGGAGGGAGCTCTGTGTGCCTGTTAGCAGAAACACACAGTTGAGGTTTGAGGGCCCTGGAAATAGCTTTCATGGCTCTGAACACCAAATTCACTACTTCCTAGCCAGCTGACCTTGGGCAAACTTCTAATATCTCTAAGCCTTGGTTTATCGGCACCTGCAAAATGGAATAGCAAGTGTCCTTACTTCATAGAGTGTTGTAAGTTCCTAAATGAGCTAATCTTTATAAAATGCATACCAGGTTGCATGATACATATTCAGCACCCAGTAACAGTCCCTTGAATTGCATCAAAATTCACAGTAAATCCACACTTGCATGACAAATATAAGTGGTCGAGTAGGAACCATGATAACATTATGTGTTTTTGTGGTTATTAGAATTGGGTCTAATTATTTAGGAAGACAAGGCTAGACCTAGAATTTCTGAGTTACACCTATTCTTTTATTCTGATTCATCCAATCATTTTTTGAATATCCATTTTGTGTCTCTGTGACAGACATTAACTCAACTTTTTGGTACAGAGTGTCCCTCAGACTTCCCAAGCCAAGCTCACTGCGAAGTTATAGTGACCCATAAATGACTTCTTCATGTCTCAGTTCCTTCTGTGAAGTAAGGGTAATAATAGCAGATTCTTCCTAAGATTAGTGTGAAGATGAAATGTTTCTTACATATGAGGTGCTTGGCGAAAGTGCCTAGTCATAGTATTTGTTAAATAAAATCTATTTATTATCACTGTTATTCTTGCTATTATTATTTTAAATGACTAAAATAAAATGACAAGAGCTGGTGAATACATATGCATAAAGTATCAAGCAAATAAATAGGCATAAACAATTCAGGCTCAAACATTTGAGAGACATTTCTCAGGAAATGGTATCTTTGGACCGGGATTTTAATAATGAGAAGCAATTTTCCTGGTACAAAGAGGTATTTTGGGATTAGTAATAGCAAGAGCAAAAGTATGAAGGATAGAAGAGCATGAAAGATTTGGAAGATGGAGACACACTTGATGATATGAAATAATTCTATCATCTTATTAATCCATGATACCTAGCAGACTGTTTGACATAGAGCTGTTGGATGGATGCATGGATGAATGGAGGGAGGGGCAGATGGAGGGAAGGAAGGACAGATGGAGGGATGGAGGCAGAGATGAATGGGTAGATGAACGGATGGATGGGTGGATGGATGGATGGATGAATTTTACTCTCGCCTCAAGCTCCTTGATGGTTTTGGGGGGCAAGTCTCAGATGACTTTTTCGTACCTCAGACTGGGTTAAACATCCCTTCCTAAGGCTTCCTGCACTTTTGCTCAAAAAGACCAAATATAATCGATGAGCAAACTTGATCCTACAACCCTCAAGAGGCAACTGTGTGAAGAGTGTCTTTGAATTTGTGGTAATACTACAGACCTCAAGAATCCCATAATGAATCTGGCTGTCAAATTTTAGAGGTTGCCAGAACTAATGGGAGAAGAGAACCCTACTTGCAAAGAGCCTCACCTAAGTGTGTTTTCTACCTTCTGGTAGTCAGCCAAACACTGACAATATAAAACAATGGACTCACATCCCTGTCCTTTGGTGTTGCTTTTAGCCTTAAACTGCCACCTCCATTTACGAAGGCCGTCAAGGAAAGAGCCCTCACTCTGATACATTTTGGAGCATAAGCCCTTAATTGCCTTGCACGGTGGACAGTGCTAAATGTTGCAGTTGGGTGCATTTTTTCCCCTTCTTGTTTCTTTCCCCTTTTGATCTTTTTAAAACTGCCTGTTGGATGTTTGGTGCCAAGTTAAAAAAAAAATCAATAAGCCAACACATTACAGCAGCAAGTTTAATATAGCTTACCTTCCTGGAACAGGCCTCAGGGAAAGCGAGAAGCATCACGTTAAAACGGTGCTGAGCTCACATCTCGAAAGATGCCTGGGATGGAAGAGACTTGCTCAGCAAGATTTTGATACCTCCAGATGCAAATGAGACAGCCCCTGCAGGACCAGGCTTGGTGTAAGAGCATATTGAGATACTGTGGTGAAATGATTCTCCAATAAGGTCCGATGGCCATCCTGGGAGTACAAAGATGGCACAGAATGCAAGAAGATCACAACTTCATAGTCACTGGAGGTCTGCTGGAAGGTTAAAGGCAGAACCCATGGCTTGAGTCCTGTGGAGACCTGTCTTGCTACAGAGAACAAACTGCCACAATTTTTACCATGCCATTCTTCACTTCATGAGCAACACACTGAGTTTCTGCTTTTCTTTTCTTCTTTTGAAGAAAGGGCCAAATATGTCAATCATTTTGAATAACTAAGAACAATAATGACTCCATTCATCCATTCCTTGCTTCAACAAATGTTCACTGAAGGTCAATATTGTGATCATTTTTACCACTACATGCTGGAGACATAATGGTGAGCAAACACAGCTCCCATGCTGTCTTCACAGGCTCCTGACCTGGTGGGGGAAGACACAAAAATCGGGTGATCATCCAAATCACTGTGAAATTACAACTGTGATATATGCAACAAAGAAGAAGGGTTATGGCCAACACGTGTTCAGTATTTACTCCATCAGGCTCTTAGTAGGCATTATCTTATTTAAATCTCACAACAGCACTTCCATTTGATGTGTTCATCCAAACTGTAAGTCAATATGAAATGTAGCATTCATCCCAGCCAACTTTAGAAGAAAGGAATTTTGAACATAGAAAAAGGCGTAGATATTGCAGACATCATGGACCCTGTTGCCTCCTCATCCCTGTGCTCATCACAGTAGCTCCGTATCTCAGCAGCAAGGCATGATTCGCTAGTTGTGGACTATGTGCAAACACCTGGGGATGCCACCTCCCACTTCTTGACTGGTCCCTGCCCCCTTGCCCCCCACAGTCTAATGGAGAGGGTACCTGGAGTCCAGTGAAGGAAGCGAACAAAAATGAAGCAAAGAAAACATTACTCTGTTATTCCACCTGAGTCTCTGGGACTCTACTGAATAGAAATTAGATAAGTGTGAATAAAATCCTACAACCATCATGTTTAAAAAACCCAATCACTTAAGCCCATAATCGGTTATTAATTTTTATTAAAAGGGTATGTAGATATTTATTCTGCAACAAGGTATTTACATAGTTTGAAAGGAGAAACACTTTGTAAATAAGAAGCTCCATGACTACACTGATTAGTTGGTCCAGCACTCTGTGCAATGGGTGTTTAACAAGTCATATTATAAATCATCTTTTGAAATGTTAATTAAGTGGTAAAACATTTGCTGAAAGTTAAAAGTTACCAAGGATTTAATTATAACTTTGCGGACACCATTTCCAGTTAATTATATACCCTTCTTATATTCTTGATAAACCACAAAATGCACCCTGTTAATGATCAATTGGTATTAAATTAGCTGGAATTAGTTTTATTAAATCTAAATTAGATTTTTATTTGCGATACAATAAAATAGTGCACCCAGCCCTTGCCACTGTGATTTGGGATATTTCTGTAGAGAGTGATTACCAGATGTCTAATTGGGCAATTAATAGATACAGTTTCCAAATTAACATAATTGGGGGACCTAAAAAGAAAACAAAATGACTATTCAGCCAGCCGACCATCTTTTTTGCATCCTGCCACTCAGTCAGGGATGTCAACCAACCCCTTATTCTTTCAGAAAATTGTGCTTCCCGGGGCTGGCTTCCCACCAAAAAGGGTCGTTATGACCCTTTTTGAAGTGAACAGCTTCAAAGTGCTCCGATGTGGAGACAGCAACTGCCAAGGCCACCCAGACAGGCACCTCTAACAGGCGTTTTTTTGTTTTTTTTTTCCAGTGTGTTCTGCACCCACGGGCAGGTACAGCGAGCCTGCATGGGGCTTACAGAACCACGAAGATAACCAGCTAGATAATGGGGTGTTTACACAGCTGACAGGAGTCCAAACGCACAAACTCATCTCTTTCCAAAAACAATTTGCCAGATGAGTTTAGTTTGATGTTCCAAAGCTTTTTCATTTTACTATTTAATATACCACAGAAGGGATCAAGACTTCACCTCTCCATTTCTACTATCTACTTAAATCCCTTCGTAACTGCTTTCTCAACATGTTCAGTGCATAGTCTGAAAGTGTGTCCTCTGCCATCTGTATTCTTTTAAGAGATGGTCCTGCCCCATACATGTAAGTAGGCTTCGTTCACATCCAAGCTGTAAAAAGGAGCATCAGCTGCTTTGTTCACTCTGGGTACCCAGGCTTCACTTTGATTTTGTTTGTCTAATAGTTTTCTTAAAACTCAGGATACTGTTAGTAACAACAACACACAAAAATTAATAAGCAAACAAAAATTGGTGAGAATTACTGGAAACAAATCGATAAGCTCCTTATATAATACACACACACACACACTTACATACGTATTTAAAAAAAGAAAGAGAATTCACACTACTGAGTTACATAAAGTTTATAAAGAGGTAGTGAGGAGTACATCATGTTCCATTTGTACTCATGGCCTCATCATGACACTCTGCTATTCACTTCTTCCAGGGACACTGGTGAAACTGGGCAGGATGGGCTATTACAGTTCAGTGCTGTTTTTATTGCTAGTCCCTTTCTCTTAGCTGCTTCCCAATGGTATGTTGGTCCACCCCATCCCTCACTCATTAAATGGATCTATGTTTTCAATCACTTCTCCCTTTTGGAGCTCATTCATTCATTTAGCAAACAGACATAAACTGCCTGCTTTGCCCAGCTGTGCACTTAGACATGGGCATACACAGAAGTAGACAGGTTGATCACCATCCCTATTCTCATGGGGTGCTGTCTGAGTGGGAGAAACAGACTGAAGGGATAAATATGTATAATTATAAATTACCATAAGTGCTCTACAAGGCAAGAAGAAGTGAGAGCTATATGGAAAATAACAAGGAAATCTTTAATTAGGCAGATAAGAAAGGCGTGTTTGAAAACAGGTGATTTAAGTTGAAAGCTGTGTGGAAGAAAGTGTGATACGGGCAGGAGGAACAAGATTCAAATGGGCCTTGAGGTGGTTATTGAAGAAACTTAAGTGAACCTGAAGAACAGTGTGACTGTGACATGGTGAACAAGGGGGGAGGTGGCATGAGTTGAGAATTGGAAGGGGAGAGGAAGCGGAGAGGAAGGGGCAGACAACAAAGGTGACTCAGGAACATGAAAGGAGCAGCTGGAGAATTTGAAGTTAAGCCATGGAATGACCCGATCTGCTTGGGCTTTGCAATCTTCAATCATGCTATCATGCTGATCGGTGGAGAATGCACAGGAAGAAGGCCAGAGGTGGGAAAGCTGACCGGAAGCTGTTGAAGTTCTCCAGGAGAGATGGTGGCCTGGAGTGAGGTATCGACGGTGGGAGTGGGAGAGGGGGATAATAAGAAAGAACCAAAAGGATGGGCTGGATAAGGGACTGAGGCTAGAGAAAAACTCAAGAAGTCTCCTAGGATCTGGGTTGAGCAACTGAGTTTATTTGCTCACTTAACATGTATTCCTTGGGCACTTAGTATGTGCCCGATTTTGGATGTTAGGAAGGTGGACCTGACAGCAAAGATGTCATGCTCTTGTGAAGTTAACACCCCTTGAGAGGAGAGTTGAAAGGCTATTGCAAAGAATTCCTTCTCTTTCCAATCATTCAAAATCTGGTTTTAGGAGTATAGGACTTTTATCAGCTACAATGCTGACACAATTTGCTTTGGCAATGATTGTGACTTGCTCTCTTCCAATACAAATTCAGTTTTCTCCAAAATGACTTTGCTTCTCTCCTGCTGGTATGTGAAGGATTTCGGAGACCTCTTGGCACCCTCATATTACAAATGATGACTAGGTCTAGGGTCACCTCTGTGTGACTGGGGTGGTTCCATCAAATAGCCTTCTGTCACTTCCAGCCCAAGCTGCTGAAGCCACATATAAGACTCTTCATTTGGGGCCTTGACGATCTATCATAGAAGGACTTCACAATGGATTCTACATTTTTGTTTTAAATAGTTTCTTTCTAATTATTTCAATGATATGGGCTGCGTACATAAATTCTGGAAAATAAAAAAGGAAATAGAAGTATAATCACTTAGGATTCCATTCAAGGTTTTGTAAAGTAGTTTTATAATTCTGATGGCTTCTTTATATGCATATTTCAAGGAAGTTTTGATTCTAAAAAACCTACTTTTGAATTTAACAATAACAAAATTTGTTTTTAAGGTATTTTTCATAGATATGAATTTAATTCTTTGGATATGTAAAGTTATTTTCAGCATATCACTACCATAAGTATCATTTCCAAAAAGGTCTTTATGCATGAACTTCTTGTGTTCATTTTTATGTGTATCCTGGAAGTGGAATTAATGGGTCAAAAGTTAGGAATGTTTTAAAGGCACATGATACATATTGCTAAAATGTTCCTAAAAGGGTTGTGCTAATTAACACTCCCTAGCGAAATGCAGAAAGAAGTTAAGCCAAACTCTTTCAAGCATCATTTTCTCTTCTCTCCTGTCTTTTAAATTTTTAATGTGTGTTAATTAGATGGGTGAAAAACTGCCTCTCATTTTTGCAATTGCCTCTTTTTTAATTTTTATTAGAGAGGTTGAAAATCCTCTCCCCACCCCACAAAGTGCCTGTTAATCATTTCTAATACCTCTTTTGTGAATTGTTTTGTTTATGTCCTTTACTTCTCTATTACGGGGCTTAGTTTTTCATTGGTTTTTCTTTCCTTGTTTATTTACATGAAATCTTTATATATGTGGCATCACAGAGTTCTCTTCTCCTTTACTGGCTCTGTCCTTCCTAGCCTCACCCCTGGTGAAGAGGGGTGTGTTTAAATGTCCCAGTACATCAATTTCTATAAAAATGATCAATGTAAGTGAGATAGTTTTTTTTTTTCAATGAATTAATCCACTAGTTAAGAAACTCTAAAAGTCAGAAGTTTATCCCACCAGGAACTGTAGGGAAACACATGCAGTAAGCTCTGCCATTGTTACGGATTCACTATGCCTTCCCAGGATGAGATCCAGGAGGACACTCCACTGCTTTGGAGTGCACTCTCTCCAACACCGATCATGTGAGTGAGGCAGGAAGAATAAGGAAGTTCTAGATATTTGTAGGAGGAACAAAAATAGGGAACTGAGTTTGACACCTGAGAGTCTGTGGAGATTAAGCGACTTTGTGATATACCTGTGATTTGTCATGACCACAAGCATCCTGTTGCTGCTGCTGAACTGTGGCATGCATGTGCACAACGAGTGACAATGACCCCTCCACTGGGGGCGCTAGAGGACTCCTAGTAGATGCTGACTCTATATGGAGTATCCACAAGAGAAAAATCAGACTGTGCCTGCACACAGAGGTAACAGAGCATGCATAATAAATATTATGTAGAGTTCCTAGAAAATCCCTATTTTCAGAACCCCACATGAGTATTTTTGCCCAAATTATAACCACGCATAAGAATCGGAGCCC